AAAGAGACAACGTCATGAAAGAAACTATGACCCAAGCAAGCAATGTGGCTCAAAAATGGGTTGATTTAGCTGGCTTTGCAAGAGAATTGAAGCATACTGACAACTCGACCCCCGAGTATGAGTGGAAATTAAATTGGCTTTTGAAGGAAATAGAAAAATTTGGATTGAAAGCTATCCGTTATATGTAAAGTTTGTTTGATGTATCGAGACCTTTGTGTTCAATGAAAGTTGTTTTAAGATGGTCACTCTGGAATGACACCTTTTGTATTTGCATTTGGCATTTGCATTTGCATTACATGTATTTATTTAAGCATTTTACATGCATTAATTATAAAAACACAGAAATAATTTATGGAAGGTTATGTGACAATAATAACAAGATCATCCATTCATACTACTTCCTCATCGTCATGAATAAGCAAATGGAAACAATTGAGCAATCTCATAAGGGATCACAAGATCAGTTGCAAGAGCAGTTAGTCGGGTCACAACAAGATACGGGGAATCAAGCATCGGGTTCTTTGCAAGGCGTATCGAATCAAATGATCCAGGTACTGGTACCACAGGCTGCTAGTAAAGAGAAAATAGAGGATGAAGGAAATCAATCTCATCATACTGGTACATCAAGAGTGATAATTTGCCCTGGAGCATCTAACTCAGACCTAGGGGATGAGCCTCGTCAATTTTGAGCAATTTGAAGACAAATTCAGGTGGTTGAATGAAGCCATTGAAGATATGAAGATTGTTAATGCCCCTCACAAGGACTTAGAAGCTAGAGAACTTAGTTTGGTCCCGATTTGGTTATCCCATTTAGGGTGCCTAATTTTGAGAAATATGATGGCACTAATTGTCCCATAATTCATCTAAAGATGTTTTGTAGAAAGATGGAAGGGTACCTAAATAATGACAATATGTTGATTCATTACTTCCATGATAGTCTTGATGGGCCAGCTATAGTATGGTATAACCGTTTGAACAAAGAACAGATCAAGACATGGGTCAACCTAGCTGATGCTTTTCTGGGACAATATCAATATATTAAAGGCTTAGCCCCAAAACGTCATGACCTTCAAAGAATAAGAATGAAAGCTACTGAGAGCTTTAAAGAATATGCCCTAAGATAGAGAGGAGTGGCAACACAAGTTCAACCTCCTTTGTTAGAAGAAGAAATATCTTATATGTTTCACGATTCTCTTCCAGCTCCTTTCTTTGAGTTAATGTTGGGAAAGTCGACGAATAACTTCAAGGATCTTATGACGGCTGGAGAGTTAATTGAGGATACAATCAGCAAAGGAAACTTGAAAGACACTTCTAAAAACCCAACCGATCAAAAGGAACAAACTGATGAGGTGAATGAGTGTCACGTCCAGAGCTCTCAAAGTCGTAAAAGAAAAGGGGTAGCGGGTTACTCGAGACGTCCAAAGAAAGTCCCAATATCGAAAAATGCTTTGAAAGTGTTCCAAACTCCTATCTCAGATCTGTATCCCCATTTGATTGAAGGTCAATACCTCACACATTTAGCTGGCTTTGCAAGAGAATTGAAGCATACTGACAACTCGACCCCCGAGTATGAGTGGAAATTAAATTGGCTTTTGAAGGAAATAGAAAAATTTACATGTATTTATTAAGCATTTTTACATGCATTAATTAAAAAACACAGAATATTTATGGAAGGTTATGTGACAATAATAACAAGATCATCCATTCATACTACTTCCTCATCGTCATGAATAAGCAAATGGAAACAATTGAGCAATCTCATAAGGGATCACAAGATCAATTGCAAGAGCAGTTAGTCGGGTCACAACAAGATACGGGGAATCAAGCATCGGGTTCTTTGCAAGGCGTATCGAATCAAATGATCCAGGTACTGGTACCACAGGCTGCTAGTAAAGAGAAAATAGAGGATGAAGGAAATCAATCTCATCATACTGGTACATCAAGAGTGATAATTTGCCCTGGAGCGTCTAACTCAGACCTAGGGATGAGCCTCGTCAATTTTGAGCAATTTGAAGACAAATTCAGGTGGTTGAATGAAGCCATTGAAGATATGAAGATTGTTAATGCCCCTCACAAGGAGTTAGAAGCTAGAGAACTTAGTTTGGTCCCTGATTTGGTCATCCCACATGAATTTAGAGTGCCTAATTTTGAGAAATATGATGGCACTAATTGTACCATAATTCATCTAAAGATGTTTGTAGAAAGATGGAAGGGTACCTAAATAATGACAATATGTGATTAATTACTTCCATGATAGTCTTGCTGGGCCAGCTATAGTATGGTATAACCGTTGAACAAAGAACAGATCAAGACTGGGTCAACCTAGTGATGCTTTTCTGGGACAATATCAATATTAAAGGCTTAGCCCCCAAAACGTCATGACCTTCAAAGAATAAGAATGAAAGCTACTGAGAGCTTTAAAGAATATGCCCTAAGATGGAGAGGAGTGGCAACACAAGTTCAACCTCCTTTGTTAGAAGAAGAAATATCATATATGTTTCACGATTCTCTTCCAGCTCCTTTCTTTGAGTTAATGTTGGGAAAGTCGACGAATAACTTCAAGGATCTTATACGGCTGGAGAGTAATTGAGGATGCAATCAGCAAAGGAAACTTGAAAGACACTTCTAAACCCAACCGATCAAAAGGAAAAACTGATGAGGTGAATGAGTGTCACGTCCAGAGCTCTCAAAGTCGTAAAAGAAAAGGGGTAGCGGGTTACTCGAGACGTCCAAAGAATGCAATCAGCAAAGGAAACTTGAAAGACACTTCTAAAAACCCAACCGATCAAAAGGAACAAACTGATGAGGTGAATGAGTGTCACGTCCAGAGCTCTCAAAGTCGTAAAAGAAAAGGGGTAGCGGGTTACTCGAGACGTCCAAAGAAAGTCCCAATATCGAAAAATGCTTTGAAAGTGTTCCAAACTCCTATCTCAGATCTGTATCCCCATTTGATTGAAGGTCAATACCTCACACCGAGATATTTCGAGCTTTTTTATTTTTGCATTCATAGTTTATGCGTTTTCATTTTAGTCATTTGTTAGGTTATTTAAACTTACTGTTTTTTTTACATTTAACGTGTACCTTTTTTTAAAAAAAACTTTCATATTTTCTTTGGTTATATTACGTTTGCAAGGCCTGAAGTTCGATTTTTTTGTGTGATATCCTATTATTTACTCTATTTATAACGTGGTCCTTGATTTTTTTATTTATTTTAGTCAACGTTTACGTTTTTTTATATACGTCTGTAAGGATAGTTTAGGTTTGCTATGAAGGCTTGGTAACCATGGTCGAATCATTATGACACGTGTGTGTAAATCCATATTTCATGAATGTGTGTTGTATGCATGTGGTAACTTTCTATATTCCACTTATATATGCGTGTGATGTATAATAATATATATATATATATATGTACACGTATTAACATGTAAGTAGTTATTTTGCATCTTGTGAATACACGTAATGTATAATTATATGTATGTCATATAGTATTTTTCATAATAAGTAATAGTCATTTGTACATTATATTTAATATGCATGGTTTATGATTTTTTTAAACATATGTATATAATTTTTTGTATGTTATTGTATGATTTTAATTTTGTTTAATTAATTTTTGGCGACATCTTTTTTGCACAATTTGTATGATATCCTCACGTGCATAACTCGACCTATTACATAATTGGACTAAGGGTAATACCCTTTTAATTTAAAATTGTTTTAAGTGGGCAGTCATAACTGATTTGAGGTCCGCTTTTAATTATTTTAAAATAAAAGTGTATCCCATTAGTGATGCCTAAAATTGATCTATCACTCTAAATTTGGGAACGAAAGAAAAGGAATGTTCGTTATTTAAATTTATCGAGAAAAGGTTGTTATAAATTTTAAGATCTGGTCTCGATATTTGTAAATAATCGAACATTCTTTATCTTTCTAAAATGACTAGGTAATTTTAATTTAATTAATTTGGGTGTTTTTGAATATTGTAAAATTCACTTTTTTGTTTACGGGATCAAAAATTAAATTAAATTCAAATTTGTAAAGTTCATTGCAAAGACGTTAATTAATCGATTAGGTACCGATTTAGGGTGTTGTGGGGGTGTTAATCCTTCCCCACACGTAACCGACTCCCGAACTCATTTTTTGGTAACACAGACCTCAATTTGTTGTTTTAATTAAAATTAATTGTTTATTTAAAATGACAAGACACTTTTTGGGTGCCCAATCACACCTTAATCAAAGATTGGTGGCGACTCTTCGAACCATATTTTTCGATCGTAAAGGAAATCCAAAAATTTTCGAAACGAGAGGTCTTTTAAATCGCATTTGTTTTTAAATTAAGAAGAGGATAATTAAGAATTAATGTGGTTTTTTAAATCTCACCTTTTAAGAAAAATCGTTTCGACAAAATAGTTGAACAATTCCATGCTAGTTCAGATTGTCTTCGTGTGGAAGTTTAATCTCACCACGTCTGCCTCTTTTTTCTTGAATAAATATAAATGCTATACTGCTTTGAGGAAACGTCCTGGCAGATATTATAGTTAATTCAAGTAGGAGAAGAGCTTCTTGGAAGATTTCTCCTATTGATTATCCTTATTCTTCATCGAATACTGGTGCTTTTCATAAATTGTTAACTAATCTTGGAGTGTATTTTTGCTTTAGTGGCTCTCCTCCCTTGAAATCTGTTAAAGGAAGATTTGAAGGTTGGAGAAGAGAAAGAGAAATTGGAATAATTCAGCTTGTCCAACTCACAAGATAAAATTTTATTTTATACTATCACTTCTGTATGCTGAGGAGGAAAGGAGAATTATACGATGAATATTTACAATTACGTGAATCCCTAATATCTTACTAAATTAAATTTTAATTGTATATCACAACAAAATCCAGTCCAAAATACTTCACATTTATGTAGATTTAGGATATCAATATATGATGATTTATGCTTTTCTCGTGATTGAATTTCTGATGAAAGTGAGTTGTCTAACTTGCTATGCCAGGCTCTCGTTTGCACTGTCAGCTAGTAAAATTAAAGAGAAAGCTAGAGTAGTTGCCATGGACCTCAGAGGACATGGAAAATCAACCTCAGAAAATGATCTTGATCTATCTATTGAGGTAAGATTTTAAGCTCAGTAAATAGAAGTAAATGATATTTTTTCCTACAAACTGTCATTTTAATTGTTTGGCCATGAATTGTGTCATTCTAGTGTTGCATCCATGGAACTAAAAGATATCTTACATGTGCAGACTATGTGCAATGATGATTTTGCTGTTCTGAAGGCACTGTATGGAGATTCTCCTCCTGCAATTGTGCTTGTTGGCCACAGGTTGTACTCTCCTGTTGTTTTAGTTTTGATATTCACTAATGCAATAGACGTAATCAGGCTAATCATTGAGGGCTAGACTTTTTTCCTTCATCTCTTTCTCTTTTCCGTCAATGATTGCACAATGTACATGTATTTTTTTTATAGGAATAGGAGGTCTCATTAAAAACCTCTCTCATAGTTGACTCTTGAAAAGTGGCAACTAATTGAGGGAGGAAAAGAGTACCTCAATTTATTAATAGACCAGAATTACATAAGATACACAATACATTCTAGCCATGAATAACATAAGATATACATAACACTCTAACCCTCGAAAATAAAACAGGACATTAATACAAATAGCATTGGGAAACAAAGACCCCTTAGCCTAACCCATCCTCAGCTAGGTCATCAGACTCAACAGAAAGCCTGCAACACTCAACCGATCCCCTGCTTAGCTAACCTGTCGCCTCCATATTGGAACTCCTAGAACCCAACGAACCCCAGTAACAAGAACTCAATTTCCTCCACCAAATCACTGAAAAACGTAGGAGCAGGTTGTAGCTTTAAAATCCATTCCACTGCACATTTGCTATCACTTTCCAAAATAAGTCTACCCTTGTTAGCCCAATTGGAAGAAAAGAAAAAAACCACTCCATTCTTAATAGCTTTCAGTTCAGTCACTATAGGGAGACCCGACCCTACTGCAGAAGAAAAAATAGCTAAAGAGCAACTAAAGGAGTCTCTCAAACACCACCAATACACCTGCATCCCATCTCCAGTCACTACCCCATCAACATTAAGTTTGAACATATCCGATGGTGGAGGAGTCCAACCAACCTTCTTATAATCGTACTATGGAGGAGTTTATCAGCCCGCGTAGGATCCCCTATTAGAAGGTCGGTCTGAATCCGAACCCCAAGGTATTTAGCTAAGAACCATTTCGCCAATCTAAATTTAGTGATAAAGAATAGAATATTAGAGTCACACTTGCCGTTTTCAAAAACAACCAAATTTCTTGCCTTCCAAATAGACTAGAAGATGACAGCCGGAATAAACCTCCAAATAAGTGAATTATGACATAGGTTCGACCACGAGCACAGAATAGCAGAAGGGTCTTGAGGCAACACCGAAGAGATATTCCATAACCTTAGGAATTTGCTCCACAAATCCGAGGCAGCCGTGCACGATAGGAATAAGTGTGCAATAGACTCATCCTGAGAAAGACATAATGTATACAAAACATCCGACTGTACTCTAGCGAAATTTTGACCTACCATCCCAAACCCACTTCTTCCACTCATAACTCTCTTCCGACCTACCTTGTAACGACTGTCTACAGGATTTAACCGAAAACATGCCATCCTCCTTCCCTGACCATCCCATGAAGTCATCCATAGATCGTTCCAGCGAAATTTTGTCGATCAATGTCATTAAAGCGATCCACTGGTCTAATTCCCAATCACACAAATTTCTTCTAAGTTGAATGTTCCAAACCCAGACATCATCTTCATACTCCCCAAACTCAAAAACCATCCCCCATTTATTCGTCGACAAAGCAAATATTCTGGGGAAATGGTTTTTTAAAGGCATATTAGTAATCCAAACATCACTCCAAAAAGCAATCGACCGACCATTTCCCAAATTCATCTTTGAATTCTGTCTCAAGCAATCACCAATCTGATCATTCTTAGCATAGTTACTGAGGATACCTCTCCATATCCAAGAGTCTAAAGGTGAAGCCGCATTTGAAATTGAAAGAGACATACTGCTAACATTGTTTTTGCAACAAATCATATTCTTCCACACACTATATTTTTCATTAGCAAATTTCCAAACCCATTTCCCAAGTAGGACCCTATTAATCAACCTTAAGTCAAGAATTCCCAGACCACCCTCTTCGATTGGTTTACTAACCGATTTCCAATTCACCCAGTGAATTCGTTTTTTATCAAGATCTTCACCCCAAAGGAAGTTAGCCATCAACGAGTTCAACTTCTGAGTCACTTTTAGAGGGATCTTGAAAATAGATAGAAAAAAGATTGGCAAGGATGATAATACGGATTTAACCAAAACAAGTCTGCCCGCTAGCGACAACGATTTAGCTTTCCACCCAACTAATCTCTTATTAAAATTCTGGACAACCAGTTCCCACATACCCTCTGAATTTTTCCTAGTTCCAATCGGTAAACCAAGATAAGACATTGGAAAAGACCCCACCCACAGCTCGCTTTCATAGCCCAATCTTTAACTCTGTCAGCTTCCATATTAACCCCAAATAATGAACACTTAGACAAGTTTAAGTGTAACCCAGACATAGCACCGAAAACCCTCAATACTCTTCTAATATTTAGAATTTGCATTGGAGTATCTCTGCAAAAAAGGATTAAATCATCTGCAAACTGTAGGTGTGACAACTGAAAGGAATTACCAATCCTACCAATACTGAACCCTTGAAACAGACCTATATTAACAGCCTTAATCAACATAAGATTTAATAATCCCCCACTAAATTGAACAGGAGAGGGGATAGACTGCACCCTTGTCTCAGCCCTTTGCTAATATTAAATTCCTCAGTAGGTGAACCATTAACTAACACCGAAATAGAGGCAGAAGAAACACATTATTTAATTCATGAGATCCATTTTTCCCCAAAACCCATAACCTTCACAATTCTGAATAAGATAGGCCACTCAACCGAATCATAGGCCCTACGGAAATCAGCTTTAATGACAACTCCTTTTCTCCCTAGTTTTCTCCAATATTCAATGCCTTCATTTGCCAAAAGAGCACAATCTAGCAATTGTCTACCCGGAATAAATGCGAACTGTGAAGGGCTTACTAAACCATTAATAACAGAGACAAGTCTTTTGGAGAGTACTTTAGAAATAATCTTGTAAAGACTGGCAACAAGACTAATAGGTCTGAAATCCTCAATTCCTTGAGGATTCACCTTCTTGGGAATTAAAGTAATAAAGGAATGATTCACTCCTTTTCCCCATTTTTTCCCTCTGTGAAAATCTTGAACAAACTGCATGATCTGGTCCTTTAATATAGTCCAGAATTTTTTAAAAAAACCCATTGTAAACCCATCTGGACCAAGTGCCTTAGCACTGTCCGACTTAAAGACAGCATCCCACATTTCCTGTTCAGAAAAATCAGCCCTAACCCAGTCTTTTGTTCCTCTGTCAATTTTACGAAATTCAGATTACATTCATCCACCTCCAGAGAAGTTTTCTCATTGTAATTGACTTTAAAAAAATCAAAGATAGCTGATCTAATCAGAGTAGGATCAGAGATATCTATCCCAGCCACTTTCAAAGACGAAATAACATTCATTCTATTCCTATTAAGAGCACATATGTGATAGAATATGGTATTTCTATCCCATTCCTTAATCCATTTAAGACGTGATTTTTGGAACTAAATACTCTCCTCCTTCCTATGCAAACTCCACAAATCATTCCTCCAAGATAATAGTTGACCCCATTCTTGTGCAGAAATTCCCCTACCCTGAGACTTTAATTCCAAGTCATTTTCCTGTTTCCAGCTCTGATATCTGTTCTGAAATTCCCATATTGTTACTATTTGGCCACATTTTAATCGCTTTCTTTGTTCCCTGAAGAATACTCAGCATACCCCTTCGGGCATTCTCCCTTTTTAGATCATGCACAACATTTTGAACCACCCATTAAACCCATCCTCTAGTAAGTAGTTAAAAAACCGGAAAGGTTTGGGGCCCCAATTTTTGAGATCTTCTTCAAGTAGTATAGGATTATGATCAGATAAAGATTTTGGCAACACTTTCTGGATAACTTTTGGAAATACTTGAAAAAATGCATCACTTAATAGAAAACGATCTAATCTAATCCACGTGGGAGCTTCTCTATTATTGCACCAAGTAAATCTCCCTCCAACTAAAGGTAGATCCATAAGGTTTAAATTTAGGACAAAGTTGGAGAATAACTCCACTGAATGCCAATTCTAAGCAACTCCAATCTTCTCCTCGGGATCAAGATAAGCGTTGAAATCCCCTCCTAGGCATACATGCAAATCAAGCTGTTGTATAAAACACATAAGCTCTCTTAAAAATTCCTCTTTATCAGCCTCAACCGACGGTCCATACACATTAATAACAACATAATTAAAGTTGAGACTCTTAACCTTTCCTGATATCGCAATGAATCTATTGTGTTTAAAATCACTGCTTACTTCAAACATATTTTCATTCCACAAACATATTAAGCCCCCTGCAGAACCAGTAGCCGGTTGAAAACTAAAACCTTTGAAGAAGTTACCCCCTAACTTCCTCAACAATCCCTTTTGGCATTTATTCAACTTAGTTTCCTGAAGAAACATAATCATCACTTTGATTTTTGAAACTAATCTTGCCACTGCTCTTGATTTTTCCTTTCTACCAAGCCCCCTAACGTTCCATGAAATCAATTTGATTTGTGACATAATTAACAATAGTACCAAACCTTTACCATCTTATAAAAATCAGTCAAGAGCTTCTAAGAGGCCCTTTTAGCTCCATCTTCAAGATCTCCTCCTCCAAAACATGATTACCCCCTTTGAAAGAGATTCCCAACATATCACACACATCCCTAGTAGCAGCAGCTTCCAATCTTGCTTCGACAGATTTGTGCGGGGACACAGAATTATCACTGTTTTGATCCATATTTTCCCTATCCAGACCTCTATCTAGTCTTTCATAAATTCGATCATGGAAACAAAATGAAACTTCACCCTCCGAACAAGAACTACCATACCAAGTTGGAGCAATCCTTAACATATTGTTCTTAAGAAAACCACTTTTTAAACCATAAGAAATAGACTCCTTGTTGATACTGCGCCCCTGATTACCAGCCAATAGCATTGGAATTTCAACCCTTTCCACCTCTGTTCCTTATGCACTACCAACTTCCTTCTCCCGAATTAATCTTTCCTCTACCATATCCTCATTTGTAAACTTAGCCTGTATACTGACGTTAATTCCACCAACAAGCAAATTTGAGTTGGATTCAGACGAAGCTATATCCTGATCCTGCCTATTTGATTCGTCCATCACCTTTTTCTGTGAGTCTCCTAGTTCCTCCACCCGAGATTCTATAAGTCTACCACAGTCCAGTCGATTTAAAATGACAACTGGCCCAGCAGTTGATAGTCTAATGGGCTCACTCAAGTCCTCTGATTGGGCTTTATCACTTTCATTGGAAAAATTACACCTAATCCCAATACCTTGATAATTCCCTCTCAAATTCAAATCCTCTGCTGGACAGTCTGACATCTTTAGTCCACTATGTTGACCTTCTCCCTCCTGCCACATTAAATTCTGACCCCCTTTGCCGCCTGATACAGCTGTACTCACATCCCCTACTAACCATCTGTCAACACTGTCCCTAGTATCCACAGCTGGTAAGTTTGGTCTACCAACCCCATCAGAGCACCTTCTTCTTCCTCCTCTGAAACTTCATCATCTCTGAACATATCCTCGCCGGCCACCGTTGAGTTTCCTACTAAGAAACTTTCCTGTTTTATATAAACCGACCCCACATTAATTTTGACCTTGAAAGATCTCCCATACGAGCCCACAATAATAGACTCCTGTATATCAAAGGGACTGGCCACCCTCAGCAAGGCCCTTGCCACCACCATTTCGTCTCTTTGCACCGTCGAATCGTTGATACAGACTAGCTTCCCCCACCTTGAGACAAGTTTCTCTATAAAAGAGACATTCCAGCATAATAAGGGGATTTCAACTAACTCAACCGAACAAAACGCCATCGATACCCCATCATCATTCACAAGAGAATCAATCCAATCAAACCAGAAGGATAATTCCTCTAATCTGCTCGACCACGCCTCTTTAAAATCTTCCACCGAATCAAAGGTTAATATGCAAGAGTTTCACGCATAACCCCACTTAGCTCCCTTAACCTTGATCCCATCGCTTGCCAATCCCTTCAACACTAACTCCAAATCAAAGTATGGTTTGATAATCCTAGTCAATGATCTCTTCACCCAATCCCATTCATCTGAGGGAATATGCATCTCCCAAAGATTTCTCATTACAACATCTTTACAAGGGTGACCCACCCTAATCTTTTCCTCCACCGGACCTTTCCTCATCCCATCAGACGAGACTAAAGCATCCTTATATGACCTTTCATCCCTCAAACGACTGAAAGACTGAGATCCAACTCTACTCCTCCAGTTCGCTCCCTCACTCAACTTATCTTCATCTTTTCTGGACTTTCTTCCAACTACTTGCATGTGCTTCTGCCTCCGATATTTAGCTACACATACCGAAACTTTCTTCCTATCAATCCAAATACCATTAACATTCTCAATCGCCTTCTTCATTTCATCCTCCTTCGCAAACTGAACGAACACAAACGTATGATCTCTATAATTTGGCTTGTTAGACCTATTCGGGATGTAAACTCTCATAACACTACCCTGTTGACTAAAAATATCCTTTAATGTTCTCAAGTGACTCTCTTGCTAAGATTATCTACAAACACCGTCCAATCCTCGCCGGAAGACGGACTTCCTAAGACGCTCTCTCTCACCATGGCTTTTCTTTAGTCTTTTTTCCTAATTTGATACCATCCACAATGTACATGTATGATTAGCTCTAATAAAAAATTGTTTGTTCTTTTGACAATCCTATAATTTGGAATCATGGGATTTGAAGAATGAAGAGGTTTCTAGATTGTTTCTTGGAAATGTTAGCTTTTGTCAATTAATTCAGAAATCTGAATTATCCAAGCTGGCAATTTAACTCTGCACTTTGAGATGAATTATTTTTAATAACTATTCAATTGGTAATGCACTCTACTTTTCAAAGGCACGTTTCAATAAGATGACTACTGGTCCTTCGGTGATTTAGTTCAAATTATCAAGTTAGAAAAAATGGACCAGTTAAACTTTGTATGTTTCTTGTAAAGAATGAAATGGGAAAAATGCTAAGTGATTAAATTTCTCATTATCACCTTATGCCATTGATATGTAGCATGGGGGGATCAGTCTCTGTTCACATTGCTGCAAAGAAAACACTGCATAGTTTAGCCGGTTTGGTGGTTGTGGATGTTGTAGAGGTTGGTGCCCCGAAAAGCTGCTTGAAATTATCTTTTAATTGTTTGATTCTAGAACAGCAATGTAGCAAAAGCAAACATCCATGCCTCAGGGGACAGCAATGGCATCACTAGTTCACATGCATAAAATCCTCTCAGGCAGAATGCAACATTTTCCCAGTATTGAGAAAGCGGTAAACACATTTCTTATCTTATGAATGACATTTTCTTTTATTCATGTGTATGTCATCTCTCTTTGATGTGATTAAATGTACTGTGTTTCAAGCTTATGTGTAATTTGGGTGAATATATAAGCACGTTAAATTTAACTATAATCTACTAAACAATATTTTTTGTAATTCCTGAAGTTATAAATTTGTTGATAAAAGTAAGGCATTTAACCAAGTAGTGGTCCATCATGAATTCATGACAGTGTCACTAGACAAGGGTTTGACAAACCATTGGAAGTGTAAAACAGTAGGAATTCTGAATTCACTGTTGAAAAGTATGATGGGGGCTATGACCTGGCTGAGTATCATCTGGGTTTGTTGCTCTTTCCTACCCAGCTTGTCGAAGTGTACCAGGCCAAATACAATTAATCATTTTCTCCTCAAGTAGTATCATGATTGCAGATTAACGTAAGGGTTCTAGAATGGTTCAACTATCTCCAATCACATACTGTATTGAGATTTTTGTGCGACATCCACACAAGCTATATAAAGACTCATAAAAGATAACAGGAATTTGACTAGGAATATTTTATATTTATTTATTGATTAAAAATTCCAGTGTTGCTGTGGTGACTGTCCACCTAACTGATTTTCAGTAATAATGTCCTGGCACCAGACTTCTTCAAAACTTCTAATACATGGGATATAGGATTGTGGATTATTTAGTATGATTATAAGAAAGTTAAACAATTAGTGAACAGCGCTAGAGAAGTTATTGGAATTCTATCTTGAGGGGATGAATCGAATAGTGGCCTGCTTGTGCTTATACAGGTGACTCAGCAGATAACAACTGCTAACTTGCAGTACTATTGAAGAACTATATTAGAAGAAAATGTGAAAATGAATAGAATTGATCAATGGTAGAGAAATATAGGTTCTCATGCTCTCAAAAAGGTTCCAAGTTAAAATCATTGTTGGTTTTTAGTGCTAGGAGAAACTTCTAGTTATTGTGGTACATTAAGCATTAACAACCGAGTGCAGTTACTTAACTTTAACAGAAAAAGGGAAACCCTTTGGACCAAACTGAATTTACTTTAGAAGGCTGGTTGTTGAGAATACAGAGAAAATACTGTTCATACAATTACCCCCTCGAGAGCAAAGAATAAGCAAGTTTGCACGTATGAAATTCTAGTTTTATGTCCCAAAGAGTTTTGGTAAGTTGATTTTAGGTACAAATAATTCCCAAGTTCTTCTTCACTTCAACTAGGATCCAAAAATATCCATATAAACCTTCCAGGTTACGTCAAGGGAAGTTTCTATAACAATTTTTTAAGCGAAATGGGAGAGTGTGTGAGAGAGCGAGAGAGAGAGAGAGAGTTCTCGAATTGCAATACAGCAGTTTCTTGGTCTGCTTTTGTTGATAACCTTAGTAGGAGAGTGCGTCGCAGTGATTTATGGGTTCGTTTTAGTCATTATGGTGAAGTCAGCAGGGTGCTCATTCCATTTTTTAATAACAGACTGAAATACAAGGATAGTACGTTTGCGTTTGTCCGTTTCGCAAGCAAGGAGGATCTGTGTATTGCGGTGGAGAAGATGAACAACGCTTCGATCGATGGAAGGAGGATCTCTGTATCAGTAGCGAAGCATGTCAAACTCGCCGGGAAGAGGATGCAGAAAGAAGACAGAGTTGAGGTTTCAAAAAGCGTGAACAAAGGAGGGGTTAAGCCTAGTAAGTTGCCTTCTTTAGCTGTTGGGATAAGGAAGACCGAGATGTTGAAGAGGTTCCATGATGGTAGGTCCTATAAAGATACAGTGGTTGGAGTGAGCATTGATCCTAAGGGTGGTTATAGTAAAAAGGAGCTGGATAATTCTTTGGATATCTTTATCCCGGTGGAAGATAAGGGCTGGTTGAAATCATCCCTTACTGGGATTTGTAAATCTTCCTTTGAAGTGGAGTTTTTGCAGAAAGCTTTGAGGAACGATGGCATTAATGTTAAGGTGGTTAAGTGGGGCTTTGCTAAGAATGCTTGTTTGGTAGTTTTCCATTCGGTGGAGGAGAGAAGGAAGGCGTTGGAGGAAAGATGGGAAGCGTTATTTTTGTTTGAAAGATTGGAACCTGTCTTGGATGAGGGAGGTATTCCCCTTCCTTTTTGTGCGATTTCAATGATAGGTGTTCCATTAAATTGCTGGTCGGTTCCTTTCTTTTCTAGTTTGGCTTTCAGATGGGGTAAGTTAGTGAAGATTCAAGATGAAGCTGTCCACAGAGTGGACTGCAGAGTGGCTCAGATGCTTCTCAGGGTGGCCAGTCCTTTTGATATTCCTGGGATTATTTCTGTCAATATGTATGGGAGGAAGTTCTTCATTAAGATTAAGGTTGAATGTGCTGTAGATTATTTCCCTGAGGTTCTAGGTTCGTTTGATGATAATGTTTCAGAGGTTCCATGGGAGGAGAGTTCCTCAAACTGGAGCAGAGGGGGTGTTCAGGCGAAGCAGGTAGTCCACTCGGGTTCGCAGGAGGTGTCAGTGGAGGGGGATGGGCAGTGTCCTGAGCTGGCAGCTGCCACTAACCAGGAATTGTCAGAGGAATCCAGTCTTAATGTTTTATCGTGGCTAAATAGTGGTCAGAAAAGTGGTAGGGATGGAGGTAATGGGGGACAAGTTGCATTGATAAAGTCAAATGAAGATTTTCTTAATAGTGGGCCGTCAGCTTTTCTTAAAAACAAAATTACGTTATATGTGAACTACATGGGTCTGGGTTTGAGGGAAAGTATAGAACTGGAGGATAATGCTAAATCAAATGTTAATGGGGTGGATTTTTCACCATTTAAGGAATTTATTCCTTCTGGACCTGCTTTTATCCCTAAGTGGAGTGGGGAGAGTTAATTCTGGCAGATTTTTGCCTCAACCCAATATCTTACGTGAAAGGAGGAAGATTGTGAATCAAGATGGCTGTAATGATGTTGTGGCTAATAACTCCTTTTTATTATTATCTACTCCTAGTTTGAATTTCCTCAATCTTTCTAGAGTTAGATCTTTGATTCGGCATAGTAGCTCGTTTTCTTCATTAAGTGTCCTTATAGAGAGGAGAATGGCCAGCTATAGAAGATTTTATAGCAGATCTAGAGAAAGAAATTACTGGTTTGGGAATAATCAGAATGAAATTCCTTCTAGAGAGGTTGTTTTAGCTTCACAGAGGGTTCGAGATCAGCCCACCACTCTAGTTTAACAGTTTTCTTTAGTGCAGATCTTAATTCTCAAGGTGGCAATGGCAGTGAGGAACCAATTTCAACCAGTAGAGCTAGTTCTAGAAGTTTGGATGGGGACCCTGTAGGTTGTCTTCCAGAAAGACTATGTTCTAATGTTAATGATGGCATTTCAAGGAGAAGAATAAAAAGAATTTTGTTTAGGGAAGCTTTAGAAAAAGTAAATATTTTTACAGCTTCTTCTATGGCTTTCTCGGACCTCCTGGAGGAAACAGCTGCTACTTGGCGTGTTTGTCAGGTATTAGGGGTTTCTTTTAAGCAGGGGAAGGAAACCTTTCTGAAGAAAATTATTAATTTAGAGAAAGGCTTAGATGTGGCCAATTGAGGAGCCTTATGGGAGTTTTGGTGTTATAATTCATCAGTTATGAAGGAAAAATTATCTATTGTTTCTTGGAATGTTAGGGGTTTGGGTAGAAAAGAAAAACAGAGAGCGGTTCATAGGTTAGTCTCCAACACTAATCCTTCATTTCTATGGCTACAAGAGACTAAATCCGAGAAGACTCTGAGGTCTTTTTTAAGAAGAAACGGACTGAATATCTTTCAAGGTGTTATTGAATCGTTGACAGTAGGTTCTTCAGGGGGTTATTATGTTGCTGGGATGATAATGTGTTTGAGTTGGAAAACCAATGTATTATTAGAAGATTCATTGCTATTATTGGCAAGTTTCGTTCTATTCAGTTTAGAAGTGTTCTCATTAATGTTTATGGGCCTTCTGTGGAGGATGAGAAAGAAAGTTTTTTTGAAGAACTCAACTTGTTCATTTCTGGTCAGAATATGTCGGTTTGTGTAGGGGGATTTTAATGTCTATTTGTGTGAAGATGAGAAGGTGGGAAAGGCTCAGAACAGATTTTCTATGGGAATTTTTAGTCGGTTTATTCAGTCCTCGGGTTTAATTGATCTGCCGTTAACAAGGGGTTCGTTAACTTGGTGTAATAATCAGGATGTTCCCACTTTTGTTAGGTTGGATAGGTTCTTGGTGGATGGTTAATTTTTGGCTACTTTTCCGGATATTGTTCAGTCTTTAATTCCCAAGTCTATTTCAGATCACAACGCTATACTTCTAGAAAATGGAGGTACAAATTGGTGTAAAAACCTTTTAGAATTTTCAATTATTTGATGGAGGAAGATGGTTTTGAGGATTTGGTTAGTTTTTCAATATCAGATTGCAAAAAGACTAGGAGAAAAGTTGGAATTTTGAGTATTTTGAAGTCTTCTAAATTAGCCATCAAGAAATGGACTGGGACGAAAAAACAGTTTCTGGAGCTTCAATTTCTGATTTAGAAAAGAAAATTCAAAAGCTTGAGGAGGATGTTCAGAAGGTGCAGACAGTTCCTTTCAGGGGATAGTAGAGGAATTAAACTCCTGTCGATCAGAGTTATGGAGACTACACAGAATTGAAGAGCAGATTTGGTATCAAAGTCAAGAACTAAGTGGATTAAGGATGGGGATCGTAACACCAGATTCTTTCACACGTGTGCTACAATTAGGAGGAAACAAAACACGATGAATGCTCTAAAAGTCGAAGGGAATTTTGTTCATGACCCTATTGTCATCAAGGCCATTGTTAAAGATTGAAGATATAGGGCTGAATTTTTCTAGAATTTCTTTGGACCAAAGCTCTTTTCTAGAGAAGGAATTTTCCAAGGAGGAAGTTTGGGAGACTTTAAAGTCTTGCGATAGTAATAAAACTCCGGGTCCTGATGGTTTTAACTTGGGATTTTTCAAAAGATTTTGGTCTATCCTAAAGGAAAACATTATGGA